TACGACTACTACTACTACTACGACGACTACCACGACTACGACTACTATTACTACTACTTACTACGACTTACTACTACTTACTACTACTACTACTACTACTACTACTACTACTACTACTACTACTACTACTACTACTACTAGTACTACTACTACTACTACTACCACTACTACTACTACTATTATTACTACTACTACTACTACCACTACTACTACTACTACTACTTACTACTACTACGGACTACGACCTACGACTACTACGGCTCTACTACTACTACGACTACTTACTACTGACTACATACGTGCGGATTGGCTAATACTACTACTACGACTACGACTAGGACTACGACTACGACTACGACTACGACTACGACTACACTACGACTACGACTACTACTACTACCTACTACTACTACTGACTACTACTACTACTACTACTACTACTACTACTACTACTACTACTACTACTACTACTACTACTACTACTACTACTACTACTACTACTACTACTACTACTACTACTACTACTACTACTGCTACTACTACTGCTACTGCTACTGCTAACTGCTACTGCTACTGCTACTGCTACTGCTACTGCTACTGCTACTGCTACTGCTACTGCTACTGCTACTGCTACTGCTACTGCTACTGTTACTGCTACTGCTACTACGCCTCCTCCTCCTCCTTTCCTCCTCCTCCTCCTTCTCCTCCTCCTTTCCTTTTTACCCCTCCTCCTCCTCCGTTCCTCCTCCTACTCCTTCTCCTCCTCCTACAACTCCTCCAACTAAGTCACCTAAGTTAGCGCATCGCCGTGAGGCGGGACGCGCGGTCATCTTCGCGCCCTCGCGCCGCCGCCTTGGGGAAGGGCGCCTCTCCAACCAATGCCGCGATGCGCGAAGCGAGCCGAGGCCTCCAACTGCTCCTCCTCCACCTCCTCCTCCTCCTCCTGACAATATTCGTTCATTGGCCAACCAATGCCAGCCTGATCTTATAACTCGGAAGCGGCGTGGGTGTCCGAGGAGTTTCAGACTCAAGCAGTTAGCGCAGCATGCCCAGAGCTGCTTTTGGGCGTTGCTTCGCAACTGTCTGACTCCTGACCCATGACCCCTGATTCCTCTTCCTCCACTACGTATGGGCCGACTTTCCACAACCACTACCACGGGTAGGAAAGGGAGGAGCTATGGCGCTATTGCGAGAGCGCGGCTCCCAGGTGCTAGCCTGGCCGCCTACACCACATCACCGAGGGAAGGCCATACCCGACTTTGGCGGGAGTCCCCTCTCCAATCTGCTGAGAATCTCCGACCATTTTTGGGTCGGTGGCTCACACTTCTGCTTCTTGTTCTTCTTCTTCTTCTTCAAATTCCGTGCATTCACTACGGCAGAACTTCCACAAACAATGCAAAACAGCACACCGTTCAGCTCGGACACGGAACGGGTCTCATGGCACTGGATGGCCAGCGGGTGCCCAGCGGCCCCACTCGGGGCGGACCCAGGACCCTCCGCACCAGGACCCTCGCCCTCTCGCGCCACACGGAAACGGGCGAAACGCCCATCACGGCAGGGCCCAGGCCAAAACGCGGAGAGAGGGCCCTTCAGAGAGAGACGCATCTCACAAATACTACAACGAAAAAGAGTCCGCCTGGGAACGGGAGAATGGCCCTGTTCCATCAACCGCTCCAAGCGGATCTGAGCACTCGTGGCGTGCATGCGCGCTCGCACGTGTTCATGTCCAACACGCGTGTGCCGAGTGCGCTTGCGGGGACATTGCACAACAACTTCACGCTGAATGGCGAGGAGCCTCCGAACAATTAGCTGCGCAACTTTATCCTTCTCAAAAGTGATGGCCGCAAGGTCTGGGGGAACGGCTGCTCTCTCAGCCATTTCCCCCGCACAGGCGTCCGCGGCTCCGTTGAGGAGATCGACGTTAAACGCAGAGAGCTGACCTGGGGGCCCGTGGGGTGCCTCTTAGTCCATCTGAGGTCGATATCTCCATTTCCCCTGGCGTCCAGGGCAACCCACAGACGAACCCACAGGTCGAGCAGATCAGACTTAGCCAGACACTCCCGCGGACGCCGAAAGGCTCGAACCACAGGAAGATAATCACAGAAAACCAGGATACGTCCAACCGTATGCTTGCAGCGGTAAACCAAAACTAGAAGTTCAGCCCGTGGGCTGGCTTGTTCACGGACCCCCAGAGCTCCTCCAAGGAGGAGGAGGAGGAGGAGAAGGAGGAGGGGGAGGGGGAGGAGGAGGACCTCCCCATCCTCCCTTCGCCCCCGTCCTTCCCATGGTTGTGTTGGACAAAAAATCGCCTCATCAACTACAGCGCTGCCTACGGCAGCTCGCTGGATTCGTCCCGCGGAACTTGCGGATGGCAACATTGGGCATCCGGCACTCAGCGGGGGTACCGTGCACTGCGGAACTGGTGGGCGATAACCCACTTTCAGGAAGAACAACTCGCATGAGCATCATTTGCCAGAAGTCCGCGCGGATTTCTTGGATCGGCGCTGGACCTCCCCTTCCTAGCGCGCGCAGCGCCAGGGGCGGCACCAGAGGCGCTGCCTAAGGGGTCCAACGCCGATCCAAGAGAAGTCCGTGCGGACCCCCAAAGTTGGCAAATCACCTAATCTAATCTCCCAGGGGGAGGAGGCAGAACGAGGACGGAGAAGGATGGAGGGATGAGGGAGGGGGGTGCAGGATGAGCGATCCCCGAACCACCTCTGGGACTGCATTGGAGATAGGGGCGGCGACAACGACATCGGTCAGCATCGAATCGGGACATCGGTCGGAACGAATCGGAACGTGCGTCGCATCAGGTCGCGACGACACGGAGTCGGAATCGAATCAGATTGGCCGCGTCTGCACAACAGCGCCATACAAACATCGGGTCACATGAGACCGCCGTTTATTTTTCGGCGAGAGCCCGAGTTATACGCTGGGCGGAGATGCTGGCCGACAACCTAAGATTTTCGCTCTGAGCAGCCCAACGTATGCCCCCCAGGATTGGAAGAGGAGGAGTTGTAGGAGGAGGACGGGGGAGAGGAGGAGGAGGAGGAGGAGGAGGAGGAGGAGGAGGAGGAGGAGGAGGAGGAGGAGGAGGAGGGAGGAGGAGAGGAGGAGGACGAGGACGAGGAGGAGCAGGAGGAGGAGGAGGAGGAGGAAGCACCACCACGGCAAGCAGGTGCGCCGAGAGCGGGACTAGGACAGGCCAGACAATTGGGGCGAGACGAGCGAGCGCAACACGAAGCCAAGACGAGAGGAGGGTGATACACGAAGCGAAGGCCAAGCGAATCACCGAAGACGAAACCAGACGCAAACGTCATCCTAACTGAGGAGGAGGAGGAGGAGGAGGAGGAGGAGGAGGAGGAGGAGGAGGAGGGTGGGTGCGGGCGGGCCCGAGAACACGGTGCAGTCAACCCGTGCAATAAGGATGCGCGGTGAGGATGCAGGGGTCGTGGATGTCCACACTGGCGTTTTTTCGAACGAGGCTGGCCAGCGAAAGCCGCTAAGGATGGGCTGGGGGGACAACGGTGCGGGAAGGTTGCCCAAGCTCACCGTGCGGGTCGGCTACACATCGCCGGACCCTGAAAGCAATCCCCACCAGACCGTCGGAATATCGGAACACAAATCGCATCGGGCTGGCCTCAGATCTAGCCGCTACCGCCCCCAGGACCCTCCCATCGGAACCCTTCCTGGACCCCTTCCAAAACCGCTCCAAGCACCCCCGCAAAGGAGAAGAAAGAGGACCGGAAGAATCGAGGATGGAGGAGGCCACACAGCCGCGAAGATCACCGATTCCGGAGCCCCCCGGATCGGCGGCACTGGCCCGAGGCCATTACAGTATCGGAACACAAATCGCATCAGGCCGGCCGAACACGGCATCGAACTGGATCGAAGTGGGCCCCGCCAGGGCCTGCCAACCGACCGCGACGGCGCCGCGGGGCCTGCAGCGCCCGAGGGTCTTGAAGACAGCAGCCCTGGGCCCTCGATCCTTCGACCTTCGACCTCCGCACCAGGGAGGGAGACGCCGAGGGCCAGCGCCCAGAAGAACGAAGGAGAAGGAGGAGGAGGAGGAGGAGGAATTGTTGTTGTTGTTGGAGGAGGAGGAGGATGAGGAGAGGAGGAGGAGGAGGAGGAGGAGGAGGAGGAGGAGGAGGAGGAGGAGTTGTAGGAGTCGTAGGAGATGCAGGAGTTGTTGTTGTTGCTGGTGGTGTTGTTGGAGGAGGAGTTGGAGGGGTTGCATGAGGAGGAGGAGGAGCAGGAGGAGGAGGACGAGGAGGAGTTGCAGGAGGAGTTGTAGGATGAGGTGTAGGAGGAGGAGGAGTTGTAGGAGGAGGAGGGAATGGAGGAGTTGTTGTAGGAGGAGGAGGAAGCGGAGGAGGGAGGGGAGGAGGCCGTAGCCCTTTTGGTTCAAGTCCCGCCTGGACCCCGAACGGGGCCCAACCGGGGTGACAGACCTGTAGCCTGTCTGGCTCAGTGGCGCCGCCCCCGCGTCAGGTCTCCTTCGGGGCGCGCGGCGGGGCGGTCGGGAAGGGCACGTTGTTTGCGGTGGCGCGCGGCGAAAAATCTGACATTCTGCCAGTGCCCAGGGGCGCCTCCTCCACCCCTCGCCTCCATGGGCCTCCCTGGTGGCGCCGCGGGGCACGAGGAGAAGAACAGGCTGGACAAGCGCAAGGCCATCCAGCAGTTCTTCATCGAGACCCCGAAAAAGAACCAGGTCATGACGTTCAGTGCCACCAACACGGCGGGGACGCGGGGATTTTGCAAGCAGCACATGCAGGACTTACACGAGATCCGCGTGAACGAGGAGTCCAAAATCACGCTGTACGGGCTGCTGCAGTTCAACGTGAAGCTCTCCGAAAAGGAGAAAAACAGGAAGCCGAACAAACTCCTCGGCGCCCTGAAGTTCAACAAGGTGGCCGTCTTCGTAAAGTCCGTGCAACGCGCCATCGCGTTCGACGAACTGCTGGTGAAGTGCAACTTCCCGTCGCTCGCCATGGAATTCATGAACTCATACACCTGACCTTCGTGTTCCAGTCTCGCAGTGGCACCGCCACCTTCACGTTCGGAGTCTCGTTCAATGCTCTCAATACTATTGGGCCTGATCCGGGGGCTGGTCCACGTGGGTGTGGATGTTCAATTTGGCTTGGAACTTCGCACAACATGTGGAATTGTATGGCTCTGGCCTGGCTCACCCTGTGGGACCTCGCGCTCTTCGTCTCCGGCTAGCTCTGAAACATTTCTTTTCTGGGGCCCCATTTTCCAATAGTGGGCCATGCTCCCTATGAGTCTCCAAGAAGAGGAGGAGGAGGAGGAGGAGGAGGAGGAGGAGGAGGAGGAGGAGGAGGAGGAAGAGGAGGAGGAGAACGAGGGGAACGAGGAGAACGAGGAGGAGGAGGACGAGGAGGAGTAGGACGAGGAGGAGTTGCAGGAGGAGGAGTTGTAGGAGGAGGAGCTGTAGGAAGGGAGGTGGAAGAGGAAGTGGAAGAGGAGGACGAAGAAGAGGAAGGGGACGAGGAGGACATAGATGCGGAGGAGGAGGAGGGACTGGAGGAGGTGGGTGGAAAGACAGCAGCGACGAGGACGACGACAGCGGAGACAGCAACGGCGGCGGCGGCGGGGACGGCGGCCGCGGCGATGACGGCCACCACGACGACGACGACGACGACAGCGACAACGAGCCACACACCCGGGTGGCAGAGGAACACTGGCATAATGTCCGCGCGGACCTTCAAAAACCAGTGTGTATCTAGGACACCTACCCTTCGCGCGCCCGCGCGTCGCGATGCGCGACGCCCGCTGCTCTTCGCGCCCTCGCGCCGCCCCCCTGGAGAAAGGCACCCGCTCTGGCCTAGACCGCGACGCGCGAAACGCGGTTATCTGCGCGCCCCCGGGGGTGACCCAGCTCAACCAACTGCCCCTGATAATAACGCCTGGGTGGAAATAGAATTCGGGCTCCCGGGGAGATACTGAACGATTTGCCCCGGCAAGTCGACGACGATGACGACGACGACGACGACGATGTTTTCTCCGGGGGGTGCGCGGCCTAAAGGTCGCTAGAATTTCCTATAGTTGGCCCGTGCTCTTGAGATCCCTGGCGCCCCTCGCCGGGAACCCTCTGTTTGATGGGGGGGGGGATTTATTGCCCGGGGCGTGCGGCGATGCATTTGTTTCGACCCGATCTGGGGGATCGAGGGTCGGGGTCGGAGATGGCAGGAGCTCGGAGGATCAAGGATCGGGGATCCACGGCTCGGGGGCAGGGGCTGCGGGTCGACGGCCGAGGATTCCAGGAATCCTATGCCACAATGTATATCAGCAACAACAATCATTTTACCGTCATGCGCCATGCTTCCGCGCGTCGCGTGCATCCTTGTGGACACCACGCCCCCTCATGGGGGATTCGCCCGGCCTGCGGGGTCCGATATCCCCTCGCCCAGATCTCCCGCCCAAGTAAAAATTGCCACCGCCTCTTCCGAGGAATTTCGACATCCACAGCTCGGACGGCACGTCGCCATCGCGATCGCCTTGCGCGCGCCCCGCAGCTCGGAGGAGGAGGAGGAGGAAGAGGGCGACGAGGGGAAGGAATATGAGGGAGAGGAAGAGGGAGAGGAGGAGGATGAAGAGGATGAAGGAGGAGGAGGAGGAGGAGGAGGAGGAGGAGGACGAGGAGGGGAAGGAGGAATAGTTGTAATAGCAGTACCTCCGAGGACGAGGTGGTTCGTACACCTCGTTCGACGTGTTACGCCACCATCCTGCGGCCTCGGCGCGTGACCCTGAACGTTCATGCCCCCAGGCGCTGCCGCTCCCATGCTCGCATCCTCCACCTGCCCCTCCACACCCTCTCAGGGAATCCCTGAAGCCAATCCTTCGATCCTCTATCCTTGGAGCCCCTGGAAGTCATCCGTCCTCTTTCTTCTCGTCCTCCTCCACATGATCTGTACTCTCCAAAAGACGGCAATTATTTAATAATAATTAAGGTTCAACAGGGACTCTTGGAAGCCCCCAGAGGCGATGCCGAAATTTGGGCACCAGTCTTGAGTAAAAGGTGAGGAAGTCTCAAATGTGAGGAAGAGACAAAAGAGGCAGGAGGAGGGAGGAGACAAAGGGGACGAAAAGGGAAAGGAGGAGGGAGGAGGAGGGAGGAGGAGGAGGGAGGAAAGAGGGACGGGAGAGGGAGGATGGAGGAGGGAGAAGAGGACGGGGTGGAGGGAGGAAAAGGGAGGAAGAGAGAGGTGGAAGGAGGGAGGAGGAGGAGGATGAGGAGGAGCAGGAGGAGGAGGAGGAGGAAAAGGAGGAGGAGGAGGACGAGGGAGGAGGAGGAGAAGGAGGAGGAGGAGGAAAAAGGAAGCAAAGGAGGAGGAGGAGGAGGAAGAGGAGGGGGAGGAGGAGGAGGACAAGGGAGGAGGGAGGACGAGGAGGGGGAGGAGAAGGGGGGGAGGGAGCAGGGGAGGAAAAAAGGACGGATATGGAGGAGGAGAAAAGGAGGGGGTGGAGGAAGGAAGAGGGAGGAAGAGGAGGGGAAGGTGGAGGAGGGAGGAAGAGAAGGAGGAGGAAGGAGGAAGAGGAGGGGAGGAGGAGGAGGGGAGGAGGATGGAGGAGGAGGAGGAGGAGGGAGTAGAAGGGGAAGGAGAGGACGAGGAGGAGATGGAGAGGGAGAACGAGCACCAATCCAAGCGCAAACAACGGGAGAAGTCTCGGGCGGGAGCGCTGGTTTTGTCGGGACGGGGGCTGTCGGCGGCGAGCAAGAGCACCGCCTTGAGTAAAAAAAGGGAGGAAGCCTCGAGCGGGAGTGTTGTTCTTGCTGGAGGCGGCGCCGATGAGAGAAAGAATAGCGCGCCTACCCAAGGTAAAACGGGAGGAAGTCTCGGGCGGGAGCGCTGGTTTTTTTGAGACGGCTGCTTTCGGCGGCGAGCAAGAGCACCGGCCCTGAGCAAAAAAAGAGGATGCCTCGAACGGGAGCGTTGTTGTTGTTGCTGGGGGGCCGGTTTTGGCGGTCCCCCAAACCGCTTGAGAGCGAGCCTCATTTTCAATGAAAATGCAGCCGGCGCCTCGGCGAGAGCGCCAGGGCGCCTGTAAGGGGTCCACCATACTAAGTGTAAATCTAATTACATTCAGCAGCAAACAACACCACAACACCTACAACACCAACGCGACGCCCAACGCCAAAACAACACCATCCACACCACAACAACGCAACAACAGCACAACAGCAGCAGCGCAACATCACCATCCACACACAACAACCACGACACAACATTACAGCAACACAACAGCATCAAAAAATACCAGTGCGGCCCTACCTAGGAGTTGGAGCCTCTAGGAAAGCAACATTAGTAGGAGCAGTAAACGCCGTCTTCCTCCTTCTCCTCACCGTCGTAGTTGTAGCAGTAGTAGTAGTAGTAGTAGTAGTAGTAGTAGTAGTAGTAGTAGTAGTAGTAGTAGTAGTAGTAGTAGTAGTAGTAGTAGTAGTAGTAGTAGTAAGTAGTAGTGTAGTAGTGTAGTAGTGTAGTAGTAAGTAGTAGTAAGTAGTAGTAGTAGTAGTAGTAGTAGTAGTAGTAGTAGTAGTAGTAGTAGTAGTAGCAGTAGTAGTAGTAGTAGTAGTAGTAGTAGTAGTAGTAATAGTAGTAGTAGTAGTGGTGGTGGTAGTAGTAGTAATAGTCATAGTCGTAGTCGTAGTAGTAGTAGTAGTAGTAGTAGTAGTAGTAGTAGTAGTAGTAGTAGTAGTAGTAGTAGTAGTAGTAGTAGTAGTAGTAGAAGTAGTAGTAGTAGTAGTAGTCGTAGTAGTAGTAGTGGTGGTGGTAGTAGTAGTAGTAGTAGTAGTAGTAGTAGTAGTAGTAGAAGTTGTAGCAGTAATGGTAGTAGTAGTAGTAGTAGTAGTAGTAGTAGTAGTAGTAGTAGTAGTAGTAGTAGTAGTAGTAGTAGTAGTAGTAGCGCTATGATATGCTATGCTTCGCTATGCTCTGCTCTGCTCTGCTCTGCTTTGCTATGTTATGCTATGCTATGCTGCGCAATGCTGTGCTGGGCTAGGCTCGGCTAGGCTATGATATGCTATGCTGCGCTATGTTATGTTGCGCTATGCTATGCTATGTTATGCTATGCTATGATGTTGCTTTGCCTTCGCTTTTGCCTTCACGTTTGCCTTTGCGTTTGCTTTTGCTTGGCACCCAGAGAGCGCACCTGGGGGAACCGCGCGTTTGCTTTTACCTTTGCTGTTGCTTTCGCTTGGCTCTCAGGGGACTGGGGGAACCGCCCGGGGCGGTTTACACTGCCCGGCCCTTTTTAAGCGAACAGAGTAAGAACCCTTCTAGGCAGAGCCTGGGTAGGGAACAACAGCAACACCAACAACACCGACAACAACAGTAACACATACAACAACAATCAATTTAAGACTGTTCGCTCCTATCTGCTCACGCGCCAATCAACACGTATATCCCAAACCCTCGGTATCCGCCCTCGTAGTCTTCGATAGTACCCCCTTGGGGGTATATCGTCCTTCCCTGCCACGCGCATTTAGTGCAGCCCCTAAAACAAGGGAAGAGAGGACAGGTGGAAGGGGGAGGGAGGAGAATGGAGCACGAGAGAAAATAGCAGGAGGGGGGCAAGGAGCAGAAAACAAGTGGTAGATGCATGCAGGCAGATCAGGTGGGCAGACCCGTAGCGGGCAGATCGGAAGGCGGGCCCAGGCGACCAGGTCGAGCAGGCGGGTTGCTGAAGCGTGGGTCCTGCAGGAGTCGCTAGGAAGTCTCGAGCGATAGCGCGATTTCCAAGAAAATCGTGAGAAAAGCCAAAGCGACAGCGTGATTCCTGAGCGCCGAGGGGGCATCGTTTAAATAAATTGCGAGGAAGTCCCACGCGAAAGCGCGATGCGCAAATGAATTGTGAGGAAGTCCCGCGCGAGAGCGCGATTCGGAAATAAATTGTGAGGAAATGTGAAGCGGGAGCCGCTGTTGCTGTAAACCGGGGGCTAAGGGCCTAGTTTGAATCACGTGACTTTCCCCGATCAAAGAAAAAGTTGTCAGCCCC